GTCTCTTGTGTTGGGAGATCTGTGGGCTTCCATGGTCTAAGAGACTATTTACTTCCCTAGCTTGGAGAAGTTCTCAGCAATTCTTTCTTCAAAGACACTTTCTATCCCTTTTTCTGTCTCTTATTCTTCTGGTACCCATATAATGTGAATATTATTCCACTTGGATTGCTCACACAGTTCTCCTAATATTCTTTCATTCCTAGAGATCCTTATATCTCTCTCTGTCTCAGTTTCTCTGTATTCCTGTTCTCTGATTTCTATTCCATTAACAGTCTCTTGCACCTCATCCAGTCCGCTCTTAAGCCCTTCTATTGATTGTTTCATTTCTTTTATCTCCCTCATGACCTCATCCCTTAGCTGTTGCATATTTCTCTGCAGGTCCATCAGCATGGTTATGACTTTTATTTTGAATTGTTTATCAGGAAGATTGGTTATTCTTTATCAGGAAGATTGGTTATATCTATCCCACCAGTCCCTCTCTCTGGGGTTGTCTGAGTGATTTTTGACTGGACCATATTCTTCTGCCTTTTCATGGCAATAGAAGTGCTTGCAGGCAGGTGGCACATGTGTCAGCTGGGAGAACAAAGTCCCTTCCTGGTTGTTGGTCACCTTGCCCTTGTCCGTTACCTGTGCCGGTTACCCACACCCCGGAAGCAGACTCTGGTACAATCTCCAGAGCTGCCGTGGGTGGGGCTGCCCTCAGGCTAACCTAGAGTGCTGTGGGGGGTTGCAGGCATGCCAGGTGTGTTGTCCTGAGAGAATGGTGCCCCTTTGTGCCTTCCTGACCTTGCCCTGGCTTCTGCTGTCTGTCCCGGTTAGCTGTGCGCTAGGAGGAGACTCTGTGGTTGCTGTGGGCAGGGCCACTTTCTGGCTGCTCTGCAGCTGTGGTGGGTCAGCTGGTTTGCTTGTAGCACCAGCTGGGGGGAATGAATGGCAGGCTGCTTATTGCTATGAGGGGTTTCAGGGCATTAGGGGGCCTGAAGTTTCTCAAGATTCCCATCCTGCTGGGCTGAGTGTGCTGGGATGATTTTGTTCACCTGTTGAGCCCTTGGTCCTTTAAGACTTTTAAAAAATGCCCTCTTTTGTCCCTGGGGAGCTGTCTGTGGGGACCTGCTTGCAGTCTCTGTCTCGGACCCTACCCTTCCGTTTCTCTAGTATCCAGCACACCATACGATGTGTGTCTGTGCTCCCGGTGCAGATTACTAGGGCTGGTTATTTAGCAGCCCTGTGCTTCCACTACCTCTCCACTCTGACTCCTTTCTTCCTGCTGGTGAGCTGGGGTGGGGGAAGTGCTCAGGTCTCACTGGGTCACGGCTTTGTATCTTACCCCCTTCATGAGATGCTGAGTTCTTGCAGATATAGATGTAGCCTGGCTGTTGTACTGTATCCTATGGTCCCTCTTTTAGGAATAGTTGTATTTGTTGTATTTTCAAAAATATATATGGTTTTGGGAGGAAATTTCCGCCGCCCTACTCATGCCGCCATCTTGAGCTGGAAGTTGCCTCTCCTGTCATTATTATTATTATGGCTACTTTTTAAAAAATTCAACAGAGGTTTAGAATAATTGATGTGGTGTTATTTGAGAGCTTTAGGACAGAGATGTTGAGTCTGAGTTCAGAGCACAAGCAGTTGGTAACTCTCATGAAAGATACTAGGGGAGGAAGCAGATTGATCAGGGAAAACTTCAGCTTGTGGTGTCCATCTGACACCTAGGAAAGGAAAAAGGGAGGAAGTAGGATTTGGGATAGTGAAAGCCTCAGACCACAGCCTGGGACAGGCAGGGATCTCCAGGGCATTGACTGTGCATTAGAGGAGGCCCATGCTGAGCAGTAATGGCTAGGTCCTTGAGCTCCCACCGTCTTCATGCTTTGGCTGGGACTGTCAGGAAAAGCTTTGTGGCCTTAGTGCAAAAGCTGAGGTGGATCCTGAAGGTGATGCAGCTCCAGGTCATTGGATAACTATATTTCTTGTAGCTGAGCAGCAAGTCCCTTCTTGAAGAAGGATCCGTGAGACACACCTCCACGGCAGCAGTACATGCCCGTGGCCATGTGACATCAGTGACAGAAGTGGGCTGCCACCTGGTATTGATTCTAGTCTAGTGTTCTTACCACCCTATGGGAGACTCACAAGCCAGTCAGACTGCTACCAGATGGTGTATAATGATGCATTCAATTGCATGGTATAGACACCGAGAAGCACCGAGTTTAGGAGATTTGAGAGATCTGCAACCAAGCATGGACTCCTTTAAGTAATGCTCCCTTGAGGCTAACAAATGAAGTAAAAAAGGAGCCACTGGACTTAGAGACACAATTATTCAATTTGCCTGCCTTCTCTTACTGTGCCATATCCCATACCAGCCTCCCTACTTGGGGAGTTTCACACTGTCTGGTCAAAAATGAAGACTTTTGGCCAGGCAGATGATATTAAGTCCTGATGTTTGCTGGAATTAGCCTTAGGCACCAGACCTATGGAGGACAAAACATGTTTTCTCCTAATCGTTTGAACAGAATCCAAATGATAGTAGATGTTTCTTGAGAGGGAATGACCATGGCTTAATATGCCACAAAAGGGTAAATTTCTTGAAAGATCACCTTAAAGGCAGTGATGGAAGGAATGCTGGGAAGCAGCCAGATGCAGCAGCATCTCTGGAATTGCCTTCAGCTGGGACCCAAAGCCTCACGGTAGGCAGACTGAGGTCAGATCTGAGCTGTCAGCATTTGCATCAGACTGTTCAGATACACTCATATCTCTCAGTTTGGTAAGAAGAGGAATAATACAAAAAAAATAGCTATTCAAGGCCAAACCTTTATATTGCCAACATTTGCTGGGAAGCATTTGGATCCAATTTTTGGTGGGAAAGGCATTAATTGTTCTCGAGTTATGCAGAATTTGAAACTTAACCATCAGTATTTTATTAGCATTATTAATCTTTTATTTCCCCTTAATGCTGGGTGAGGAACTGTGCTCTGTGGATTTGCTTACTTAACCCTTCCGATAGCCCTAGGAAGTAGACAGTGTTTCTTTCATTTTGCAGATGAAGAATCGAGGCACGTAAGATCAAAACCTTTCTCAGTGTGGTGGAGTGGGAATCACAGCATTCAGATGGGGGCCAATGCTTCTGATTCCAAGGCCCATGCTTTCACTCCTCATGCTGCAGAGCCTGTTTACTATTTAAAGGAATCAATCCAAAAAACAAAAACAAAAAACCCAGAGAATCTTATTGTGTCATTTTATAATAGGTAACATGAGGCTCCAAGTTAGTCAGTAGCAGCCTGAACTGGAACCCTCTCCTGCTCCCAGCTCCAAGCCCTTTGCCCAGTACAGTGATGAAGCCTAGCAAGGTCATGGCTGGAGTGTGCCTTCAATGCTCCCTGAGAATACCAATAGGGCTTGTTCTCTGAGGCTGTGGGTACAGTCTGGCATGGTCTCTTTGTTTGCATCCCGCCTCAAAATGCTACTTCTTATTCTTTCATCAGGGAGCTCCCAAGCCTCTGGCAAACTGCTAGGAAACTAAACGAAGAAAATTGCCCAGATGAGATATGCATATCAAAGTGTTCTCTTAGCTAGTACTTATTTAATTTTATTTTTGAATTTTCAAAGCATTCAAGAAGTAGCAGCTGTGGCTTGCTCTGCCACCAGTCCAAGCTTTTGTGTGATGGACAAAAGCACACTTTAATTAAGAAATAGACTCCTAAAATTACCATCAAGTGTTGATCCAAACTTCTTGCATGCCAACACGTAAAGCATTTGGTCAGGATCTCCTCTTCCTTCCCTCCTATCCATTTTAGCAGCTGTGTAGTCTCTGCTTCTGAGTGTTGTTATTTTTATCTGTAATTTTTGGGAAAGTGAAGGATCAGCAGTTGAAGAATGACTTAGGGAGAGACATTTTTATTGCTTAAATGATTCTTTTCAGGGAGACAACTGAAGCCAAAAAGGGATCGTTGCAAACCTAAAGGAGCTTGAGAAAATTTACACCCTCTAAGGTATTTTAAGCCTTTGGAACTATTTTGAGTGAAAAGACTTATTTAAGGGTTGTGGAGAGTCCTGTTTCATAAGAGTAGAGTGAGACTCCAGCCAACTGGTGGGGTGTCTAGGAGTGCTGGCTCCAGAGGCACACTGTCTGTGTTCAAATCCTGCCTGTCTAAGCTGGCCTTCACCTCCCTGTGTCTCAGTTCCTTAGGTCCAAGAGGGGGAAACCCTACCCATTAATTATACCTGCTTCATGGTATTATTGTGAGGGTTAAACGAGGTACATCTATTAATGCACTATTAATGCATCTCATATTGATTGATTAGGACTTCTTCAGTTGAAAGTGACTGAAAACCCGACCCAAACCAGTATAAGCCAAATTACAACTTATTGCTTACCAAAACAGAAGTCTAGGAGTAGGGCTGGATTCAGGGCTTCAACAATGTTACAGAAATATTTGTGTCTCTTCAGGAAGATGGCAACAGTGGCTCCAACCCCTAACCTTGCAGGAAAAAGTCATACGTCTTTGGCTCTGGCTGGCATTACGTCCATCTCTGAGCCAGTACAGAGGCCAGTATCTGTTCACATGTGATGCTCCAGAGGGTGTAGCCCTTGGTCACATGGCTTGCCCTAGGAGCTGGGGTTGGATTCAGCTTTGAGAGAACTGTTTGTCCTGCAAATGTGTGCCTGTATTTACCCAGAGGAGCATTTGGTTACTGGACTTGGTAACCAAATGCTCCTCTGTGTGAATTGCCCCGTGAATGGTAGCAAGTGCTGTAACTGTTGCTATAATTAGCTGTTCAGGAGGAAGGGACCCCAAAGCCAGGATCTTTGTGATACTTACTGATTATATTCCATACTGGGGACTTTAGAGACTCATATCTCATGCAGCCAGCTATTTATCATGACCCCCAACCCCTGTCCCATGCTTTCACCTTTGCTCTTTTCCCAGTCCCATGTGGCCTTCCTCACTTTCTTGTTAATTATTAAAATACAACCTCTCCTTCAAAGCCCGCCCCATCGTTGAATCTTACCCATTGTCTCCAGCCCTTTACCATCTCTCTCATCCCAGAAGTGCGACAGCTCTCGGTGTCTGTACATGAAGCATTCTAAGTCTGAACTCTCTGAAAATTGTAAAGTGCTGTAAAGCGTTATGTCTTGCACTCAATATGGTGACTCTGAAATGTTAATTATTATTATGTAACCATGCTCTTATATCACAGTGATTTAGAATATGGAGCTTTGAGGTCAAACCTTCCTTCTTCACTAACTTAATGTTGAAATTTGGTGCAGATCATGGAACCTTCTGAGCCTCAGTTTCTTCATGTATAAGGAGAGGACAATACTACCCACTACATGGGATAATTCACGTAAAATGTGAACCTAGTGTGCATTACACACACACATACCCTATTTTCTTGTAAGCAACTTGAAAATAAGGAATATATACCCACCTCATCATCTTTGCTTCTCTAAACTCTAGCTGTTTATGTTACTGTTTAAGCTACAACAGTAAGAATAACCGGCTACAAATAAATACCCCATTCAAACTTCATTGCTGAATCAAAGTTCTGAGGTTTTTAAAAAATAGAACATTCTGTGACTTTTTAAAATCGCAGGGTCTCTTCTATACCCAAGATTCTGTGAAATACCAGAGTGGGAATTTCTACCACGTTGGCTCAGGCTGTGTCCTAGCAATTGACTCCCTTTGCTGCCTCTGTGGGTGGTGTCCCTACCCCTGCATGTGGGGGGTGGGGAGATAGAGTGACAAGTGACAGCAATCTGTCCAGTTTATGCCATGGAGCAAAGCAGAAAGGGATACATTTCAAGAGCCTCAAATGTTTCTTTCCTGGGAATGACATAAATATTAGATTTTGCTGAAAAATGGCATATGCACATTGGAGGCATTAAGAATTCTCACAGAAGCAGGGAAGCAAAGAGGCTTGCTTATATCCTCTTAATAAAGTCTAGTTTCTGCTGACAGGACGCAAAATAAATACAATTGGATAGACACTTACCACCTTTTGGCAGGCTTTGGGAAGGGGCCAGCTGTCTGTTCAAGAGCTGCAAAAGCCTTCCCTCGTCTGTGTTAAGTGAGGGTACGGTGTGGAGGAGAAGGGGGTATATTGGCAGCCTGTGGAACACAGACTGAGTCCAGGCCCTGGCCTTTAAGGGTTGTGTGCCCTGGTTAAGACATTTAACATAATCACTTATGTCAGTATTTTTTAATTGAAAATTTAATTAAAAAGCTGAAACCAGTTTTTTTTCAAAACAACACACATTATTCAATTTCTTCTTTTTGAGTTACATTCACATAACAAAATTCACCATTTTGACCATTGAAAAGCATACAGTTCAGTGATGTCCAGGACATTCAGTGTTCTGCAAACATCATCTACTTTCAGAACTTTCCTGTCACTCCTAACCTTGTGCCCACTAGGCAGTCACTTTCCCTAGCCCCTGGCCACACCTAATCTGCTTTCTGTCTCTGTGGATTTGCTTGGGCATTTTGGGTAAATGGTATCACAAAATATGTGGCTTTTGTGTCTGGCTTATTTTACATGCCATAGTGTTTTTGAGATGCATCCATAATGTAGCAGTGGCAGGACTCCATTCCTTTTTCATGGCTGAATAATATTCTGTTACAGGAATATATCACATTTGGTTTATCCATTCATCAGCTTATGGACATCTGGGCTATTTCCATATTTTGACTATTACAATAGACACTGAATATTTATTCTCCATGAATGTGTGGGATACTGCTGCCTAGGTGTCTGCATAACCATAACCTCTCAGTTCAGATAGCCTATACAGAGTGGAAAAAAAAAAGTATCTGGTGTCAGTTTCAAGTTCTGGGGGAAGGGACTCTGATGGGAGTGCTCAGGTGGCAGCTGTCCTCCCAGGCTGTGAGATGGTCCCCACGATGTAGGGGCACTGTGGTTTCTCTGACAAGTAGCAGGAGGGCAGAGCAGGCATACGGGGCCTCTCTATTACAAAGTAAGTATGCTTGGCTGTCACTTATCTAGAGCTTTCTCTGAGCCTCATGAGGCAGGCAGCTTTATCCCCATCCTATAAATGAGCACCCTGATGCCTGGGTTTCAGTTTCCTCCATCACAAATATCTGTCCTACTGGACCTAAGAAACATGAGATGTGAAGAGAGTGCTCATGAGAAGCCTTTGTAAGTTGCAAAGAGCTATAAGCATCCTGTGTGCACAGTTGACTATCTCTAACCCTCCCAGGCACATTCATTCCTTTTTCCAGGCCCCGACCATAATGTGTTTATGCCTCTTCCTCCATTACAGCCTCTGCACCACTGTATTCTCTGTAGCCTGCTTTGCTGGCTGGTGTACAAGCTCCCGGACATATGGAGGGCAGGCAGCACATCTCTGAGTGCCCAGGACCCAGCTGGTGAGCCTGGTACATGGTAGTTGTTCAATGAAGAGGATGCCAGTGAATGATGGAAAAGCTCTGGATCCTTTCACTGCCATGAACAAACACCCACCATGGACTTAAATTTCTTTTCACAGTCCGAGGTGACATGTGCTTCTGTTAATATTAATAAAATTACTTTTCACAAACTTGAAAAACAATGCTACAACATTCAGGCAAAAGTGCCAAATGGTTTTTCTTCATCGTCCTCTCCCCCACAGTAAGTCCTCCCCCATTCAGCACTCTCTGGAGAAGATTTGCCAGTCTCCTTGGAAACCCAGTTGGTGGACTGGAAGGCATTCCTTCTCAGTACACGGTCAGTGGGGTCCAGGAGATAATGTGAGGAGCCGCAAGCAGAAGACTCTCTGTCGCTTCCCAGCCCACCTTGCTGCTGGGCAAGGAGCCTCACCTCCCCTTGTGTCTGTGGAAATGTCTCACCTCATGGAGTGCAGGGCATGCCTAGGTAACAGTCGCCTGGGGCTTCAAGCCTACCGACCATGGTTGTAGCATATCTGTGTGTGCTATTCATCAGATTTTCCAATGGGTGGTTCTGTAGTTGGCGCATGCCTCTTCTCATGACTCCCCAGACTCCAGTCTTTTTTTTGCAGTTCCACAATTATTTTGGCAAAGGAATGGAAGTGGGGCAAGCTGATCTCTGTCCAGGGTGAATGTGAAGGATCAAGTGTGTCTCTACAGGTGGACAGGATGATGTGATTGTGAAAGCTGATGTCCAGCTGCCAATAGGTCTGCAGTTTTGCAGACAGTGTGGTCGACACACTGCCCCACACAGGTCCTGTTTTTCAGGGCCTTTGTCCTTGCCCTTTTCCAGCATGTCCCTTTCCCCCAGTTCTGCTCCCTAAAAGCCTAGCCATTTTAGATTTGAAATCTATAAAGGTTACCAAGGTGAGCAGAAACAAATAGCCATGGACACTGCATTTGGGTTTAGACATTCTGGAAATTTGTGGAGGAGGCTGCTGAACGGTAAAAGGGGTGTATGGAATAAGACAGGAAGTCTTCTTTGGTGGTGAAGTCTGAGGGCAGGCCCAGGCCCGAAAGAACCCTGGAGGTAGTACAGTTGAGAGCCGTGCTGTCCAATAGTGTAGCCACTGGCCACATGTCCGAATTGAGATGTGTTGGAAGTGTAAAATGCACATTACATTTCCTAGACTAAGTACCAAAAAAGTAACCACAAAAATCTCAAAAATCGATAGTGATTTAAGAATTAATTTTCACATTGAAGTGATATTTCTTGATGTATTGGGCTAAATAGATTAGGAGAGTCAATTCTAATAATACATGAAAAGTGGCTTTTTCACTTTTGAAATGTGACTACTAGAAGATTTTAAGTTTTGTGTGTGATTTATTTGATATTTCTATTGGACACACTGGTTTACAGGTCAACAAGATGGGCTCTGGAGACAGACCACTTGCATTTGAACTCCGACTCCAGAAATCACTAGCTGTGTGACCTCAAACAAGTGAGTTAACCCAGTGGCTTTCAAACCTTCCACGGAGACCTGAGGCAATCATCTCATTTTACAATACTAGTCATTACATACATACCAACACGTACGCACATTGAAATAAAGTTGATGGAATAATACTTAATATGTAGTTTGCATTCTGATATGTTCTATGCTGTTTCATTCTCTTCCTTTCCCCTCTCCTGTCTATTTATTTAACATAATGCTTGTCACAACCCACTACATTAATTTTGCAACCCACTAATGGGTTGCAAACTTCAGTTTGAAATTCTAGGCTTAACCACTCCATGCTCATCTCTCTTACTTGTAAGAGGGAACACTACCATGATCTCTTAGAGCCATCTTGAGAATATACATAAAATATTGTACATAAAGCCCTTTGCACAGTGCCTAGTATATAATGGAGTGCTTGATAAATGGAAGAAAATATTATTCTAAATGGACTTTCAATTTTCCATATATAAACATCTGGCAGTGGTGGCAGGTGTATAGGAAAAACTCTGTGTTAGTTGCTCTTGTTATTGATGTTACTTTAAACAGGCCTTGAGTTTCACAGTTATTTCTTTTCCCCAAAGAGATGTCATCTGTGTGAGGGTATGCAGCATTTCCATAGTGGGAAAGGTGACCCCTAGGCCACCTT